TGTTTTTTATGATATATATATATATATCAGAAACCTATTAATTTGAAGAGATTTTGTTCCATCTGTTTTCAACTACTGTAAGTCTTTCTTTTTTGCTTGAACTGGCTGAACTTTTAATTAGCTTCAATTCCACCCATGCATTAAGAGATTTTAGTAAGTTTTACTGGTTCCTCTACACTTTGTCCTAAGTCTTGTAAATAGTTATGATACTACTTATTTTCTGCTTGAGGAAATGCATCAAAACTCATCACTTAAGATTAACTTTCTCAGGAATATGGCCAGAGTCACCTAGTTTCAATGACCATGGAATGCCTCCTGTGCCTTCCAAGTGGAGAGGGATATGTCAAGGAAACAAGCTCACAAATTTTTCATGCAACAAGTATGCGAAAAATTCACAAATTTCTAAAATTTAATGCATTTATGAGTACCTTATTGCATCAACTTACATTATAAATTCAGGAAAATCATAGGAGCAAGGTATTATCTTCGAGGATATGAAGCGGAAGAGAGCAACAAAATTACAAAATTTAGGTCTCCTAGAGACAGCTCTGGCCATGGCAGTCACACTGCCTCAATAGCATCAGGGAGATTTGTGCAAAATATGAACTATAATGGCTTGGCCAATGGAGCAGCAAGAGGAGGGGTTCCAATGTCTAGAATTGCAGTCTATAAAACTTGTTGGGACTCAGGTTGTTATGATGCAGACCTGCTTGCAGCCTTTGATGATGCAATCAAAGATGGAGTGGACATAATCTCTGTGTCTTTAGGCCCCAACTATCCACAGCGAGATTATTTCAAAGACTCTATCTCCGTCGGGTCATTCCATGCAGTTAGTCATGGAATTCTCGTCATCGCCTCCGCTGGAAATGTCGGGACTCGAGGCTCGGTGACCAATCTAGCTCCATGGATGCTCACTGTCGCTGCTAGCTCAACAGATCGGGACTTTTCTTCTCAAATAGTACTTGGTTCTGGAACAAAGCTGATGGTAAACTGATTTCTTTTGAACTCTTATCACATAACCTTTTTTGTGTGTTCTTTATGTAAAGCATGGTTTAAATAAAAGTTTCTTTACATATAGGTTTATGGATTTGTGGTTAATGTTTATGACTAAAACAAACAATACTGAATACAAATAATGATGAATACTTTTCTTCAACGTCTATAGGGAGAGAGCTTAAATACGTTCAGAATGAATGCATCAGCACCTACCATATTAGCTTCAGAAGTTAGTAATGGATATTTCACCCCTTATCAATCAAGGTGAAAGAACTTGTTGATCTGCTATTCTGTAAAATATAGATTTAGTTGAAGTTGCTTTGTTTGTCTGAATGGATTGCTTTCATTCGGATTTTGGTAATATGAAACATGGAACGTGATCTTTTGGTTTTACAGCTTCTGCTTGGATGCCTCATTAAATAAAACAATGTCTAGAGGAAAGATTCTCATCTGCCACCATTCTGGTAGTTATTCTGAGTCAAGGATAGGAAAGAGTATTGTAGTGAGGAAGGTTGGGGGAGTCGGAATGATTCTAGTAGATGATATTGAGGATGATGTTGCCCTGCCCTTTGTAATTCCTGCAGCAACAGTTGGAAAGAAAGCTGGTGAAAGAATTCAATATTATGTTAAAAGAATTAAGTAAGAACGTTAATGGCTTCCATTCCCATTGTGACACACTCTGACATCTTCAGCTTTTGTTCAGGAAAGCAAGGTCACTTATTTTGCCTACAAGGACTGTAATGGGATCGAGAAGTGCTCCACGTATTGCAGCATTCTCTTCAAAAGGACCCAATTTATTGACCCCGGGAGTTCTAAAAGTATGAAGAAACTATGATCATTTTGGCTTCTGAGTGAAAGATTTGTGTTTTGACGAGTTTTTAAATGATTTTGCAGCCAGATATTGCAGCACCGGGGTTGAATATATTAGCAGCATGGTCTCCTGCTGATAAGAAGTTGGAGTCTAACATTCTTTCAGGTACTTCTATGGCTTGTCCACATATTACAGGACTTGCAGCATTGATAAAAGCTGTTCACCCATCATGGTCTCCATCAGCAATCAAGTCTGCATTGATGACAACAGGTTAGCAAACCGGTTCCTTTTATCACATTAGCATTTTTCTAACCATTTGAGGTTAGTTTTATGAAGCATACTTTTCACTTCTTCAAGCAGTTTGCTGAGTGTTACTTGAGCTGTAATTTTTTTTTTTTAAATTGTTTGTAACAATTTCTATCCAGGCTAATTTAGATTTATTCCTTTCTTTTTAATTTGAGTGGGGTGGCTAAAGTGTATATCATAGCATATTTATAACAGACGATAAAACAACGAGGAGATTGAGAAGATTTGAAGAATGGTTGTCCAATGGAAGTAAGACAAGAGGCAAAAAAAAAGAAAGTGTTGGAAGTTGTATCTTGAAATAATTTATTCTTGTTATAAGTTATGAGGATTAAATTTATTTCCTAATATATCTTTATTTCCTTTTCTACTTTAGATTTATTTTCTTAGATTAGATTTATTTACTTTCCTATTTTAGGCTTTCTTATATTAGTTTATTTTAATTAATTGGAGATATTAGGTGTTAAATCTTGTTATTTCTTTTTTATTATGTTTCCTATTCTAGGATTCATGTAAGAGCTATTTATACCCATTTTCATATCAATAAAAGTATTTCACATTATTCTGAATATCAACATGATATCAAAGTCTTGAAAAACTCTAGTCGTCTACCATCTGAAAACTTTCTATTCCCTGCAATTGACAATTTTTGTGGTGTTGCAGGCTCTTTTTCCACCTCTTTTCAATTTTTTGCCAGAAACTTCCTTTCACTGTAGGCCCCGCCGCCTGAATTTCCTCTTACCATTGGAATTCCCTCCTGCAGCCTTTCCAGCCGTCGATCTCCCTCCTGCCGGCCTGCTCTCCTTCCTATAGGGTCCCTTCTCCCGTGAGAACTACCTGTTGTGAAAAAACAACGACAATAAAGTGAAATAACGAATCGAGAAAAATTTGCAAATAGAAAAGCACAGCGAAGCGACACAGATTTACGTGGTTCGGCAAATTGCCTACGTCGACGAAGCTGCAGAGGATTTTATTACTTCGAGGAATGCACCCGTCGATCGCCTCGACGATTACAAGAAATAATTTCTCTCTCTCTCTCTTCTCTCTCCTCTCCTTCTCTTTCTCTCTACTCGAGAGCTTCAAATCGAAACACACCAGAAGAAGAATCTGGAAAGCTACCAATGCCGAAGAGAGATGCCTGAGAAACCAAATCCCGAGAGAGATTACAAGCGGAGCTAGCATGCGTATTTATTAATTCCATCATGTCATTAGGCCCATTAAAGAATTAATCAAATAATTAATGAAACTCATAATTATTTCTTTTTCTCATCTGTAGCAAATCATAGAAGGAATTAAAAACAATTAATTTAGCAATTAATTTCGAGTATCAAATCTAATTTCCTACCAAACATGAGAAAATATCAATTTGAGCAGTGGATCAGTTTCCATATTCGTAACACTACCTGCAGGCCTCCCCGTTAAATCTTCCTGTAGGTGACTGTGAATTGTTGCTGGCAAAGATAAAAACTTGTCATTGTGGAAAGGTGAATCTTGCTGGGGAGAGAAAGAGCTGCCTTGACCCAATCCCAACTTGCTCCGAGGTGTGCGAAAAACCTCTTGTTTGCAAGGCCCATCTCTATAATTTACTTTGTCATGAAGGAAACTGCCCTACTTGTTGTGTCCTTGTTGAGCAGAGATGCAGTGTGACTCTTCACGCTAGACTGTGGAGTGTTACAAGTTGTTCGATGAAACTTTCCCATTTATCTGTGAAAAAACCTGTGGCAGTAAGAACAATTGTGGTCGACACGGTCGTAGAGAGCGCTGTTGTCCTCTATTGAAAGAGAAATTATTCCATACGGACAACGCATGCAGAGAAACATGTGTTGTCTGATCTCGGGCGTCGATCATAGTTTTTTTTTTAAATAGAGTCCACCGAAATATAATTTTGTTGCGATCGACGATCGAGATCAGACAGCGCATGTATCTCTGCATGTGTTGTCCGTATGGAACAATTTTTCCTATTGAAGACTAGCAGCGACCACTTTTTTGGTGGCGATTGGGATCCCCACTTCTGTTCAGTGCCTTGTGGCAAGCAGCTGCGGCATGGGAACCATACATGTCAGATAATATATCATAGCGGTCATTGCCCACCCTGCCTTGAGATCATCTTACTATCTTAACTTGCGCTTGTGGAAAGACCTCAATTCCACCTCTAATCCCCTGCGACACGCCCCCGCCATCATGTCCACTTCTATGCTTAGTGTCACCGCCTTATGGACACCCACATCCCACTCCTGCCATTTTGGTGACTGCTCTCCCTGCATTATTTTTATGGTGAAAGAATGCATCGGTGGCCATGGTTATGTCGAGAAACATTCCCTGTGTTTCAAAGACATTTGATGTATTCAACTCTGCGGAAAGATGAGGCGGTGTAGGATCCGTGCCCTTGTCAAGGCCTGCCATCCTCCTTGTGATTCATCTCATGCTGACTGTACACGAAGAGAAGTCTCTCATATCTTTTGTCCATTTGTAGGTCTCTCATATCTTGCCAGGCTGCAGTCACATTGCATGCTTTGCAAGGTTATTGTTTTGTGAACATGATCGAGAGTTGGCATGTTTGAGGCTGCAATTTGCTCACTTCCCTGGTCCACGTTCATCTGTCGACCCTCGTAGTAGGCCTTGATTTTTTGGAGTTGTATTTCATGCAACGAAAGTGGTTTGTGGATGTTATTTCCATAAAGAAAATTTGCTCCTCGTTGAGTATTTTATCGTTGCATTTCCTTGTTTTACTGAATTTCATTCCCAATCTTTCTCTGGAAGGCTCTTTTTGTATCTACATTTCTTGTGAGAGACATTGGCCAGTTAAATTGCCTTCACTGATTTCTCCCTATAAACTTCCAAATGTGTTTGCTCCTCCGGAATTATTCTTGCAGTAGGCTTTTCTTTGGAGCTTTTCCTACAGCAGATTTTTTCCAGAGCTTTTTTTGCAGCAGGTCCTCCAGAGCTTTTTCCTGTAGTGTGACCTACCTTCGGAGCTTTTCCTTTCTTTTCTACACGCCATACCCTGCTGTTTTTTATGTTGGCTGCTTACTTTCTTGTAAACACCTCTATGACATTGCATGTAGGAGTCTTTTGCCTACTTACAAACTCTGTAAGATCTACAATCAAAGAAAACCACAGTCAACTATAAGTCAATTTTTTCTGTAAGTTTTCTACTTTCTTGCTAACTCTCCTGCAATTTTACCTGTAAAAGTCTTCTGCATACCTACAGACACTGTAGGAACTACATTTAAAGACAACCGTAGTCAACTAGAAGTCAACTTTTTCTGCAGGTTGTCTATTTTCCCGCAGGTTGTCTATTTTTCCGGAAACTTCTCTGCAACATTACTTATAGGAGTCTTCCGTCTATCTACATATACTGCAGGAACTGCAGTCAACGACAATCATAGTACGGGAAAAGACTTCAATTTCTATTTCACAGGATCTCCCTTGTCTTGTTTGATGTTTTTAAATCCAATTTGAACATGATTTTTCATCATATTTTAACTTGGGAAGGACTGTTAGAAGTTATATTATGAAATAATTTATTTATGTTAGAAGTTGTGAGGATTATATTTATTTTCTAATATAACTCTGTTTCTTTTCCTATTTTATATTTATTTTCTTAAATTTGATTTATTTCTTTTTCTATTTTAGGCTTTTCAATTTTATCTTGTTTCCTTTATCTCAAAATAATTAATATAAATTGATTAATTAGATATATTAGGTGTTATATCTTTCTTAGGTGTTATATTAGGTTGTCTATTTTCTATTCCACAGGATCTCTCTTGTCTATTGTTATAAATTATTTCTTTTTTGTTGACTTTCCTATTCTAGGATTCATGTAAGGATTATTTATACCCATTTTCATATCAATAAAAATTTGCTATATTATTTGAGTTTCAAGAAAGCATGAACAAATCCATTGAGAGAAATAAATGGGTATGCCAAATAATGATTTTCTTTGTTCCATCAACAGTCATCCGGCATACAAGACTCTTACTATTTACAGAAATGGATGTACTGAAAATAAGAAAAGTATCTTTAAACAATTAAAAGTTTGACATTAATCATCAATGACAAATAACAACTTAACAGCTAAATATTTACTTAAAAAGAAAATATGACAATCACATTAAACATTGAAGAAAATTTCAATACGTACTCATCATTTAGAGCTGAGATAAATTTAGGCTTGAAATATTATATGAGACTGAATTAGAGGCCTTCGATTGTACTGTACAGCTAGCAAAATTCATACCTATACGAGAAATAAATGAAAAATTCATCTCTCATAGCAGTGACTAATGTTAAATACATCAGAAAGACGAAGATATGTATGGGAAGAGCAACTCCACCCCTAACAAAATTGAAAGAAGGCTCTCTTCATCAATTCCTAAGAACATTACTATTGCTCCAAAAAGCTATTTCTTAAAGCTTGGAAGTCTTAATACACGCTGACTAACAGCGGCAGAAGCTATTTTTAAAAGCTATTTCTTAAGCTGCTAATATGTTTGATTATAGATCCAACTCTTTTTCCTCTAATAAGAAAGATAACAGCGGCAGAAGCTCAGAAAAATGGTGCTATTTTTTCAGTGGTTCTGCTTTTGGTTTCTATGTTTAAGTAAGCAATTCAGCCTTTATTTAGCATGAATTTAACTTTGTTTTGACAGAGCTTCGGTAAATAATGAATAAGGGGTTTGTTGGAGAGTGAAGTATGGGTTTAATAGTTCTATTTGCATAGAGTTTGGATTTAAGTGGAGTTAATTGGATGATTAACGTTTAAGTTTTTTTAAATGAATGGTGTATTGTTTACTTGAATTAATCTTTTTTTAGTACTATCATGAAAGATTAGAAGAGGAGAAATAATACTCATTAGAAAGAGTGGTGTAGCTTGATGAAGTGAAGATTTATTCAAACTTTGTTAGATTACTATTTTGTTAATATAAATGAAGATTACGTGAATCTAATGATAATATTTAATCTAGAAGAAAATCAAGGAGGCATATGGGTGTATGGTTTTAAATTTGAAATTGAAGAATACTAACTTAAATAAGGATGAGGTGGAGGGAGAAGCAATGGTGCTTGATTATCTTGGAGGCACGATATGAAATATACTAACAATCTCTTCTTAAAATGATATTTATTCATTGATACTAATCACAAAATAATAATTCTTATTTATCCATTATTTTTAATAAATTAATGACTTCTCATGGTTTCTATTCATTAAACAATAATCTTTCATTATTATTGTTCATGGAACCAAAATAAATTATGTTATGGTTCATGGTGAAGAGAAATAATAATAAACCATCAATACTGTACGGTTTATCATATTGACAATAAGATTGGGTAGCAAATGTCATGGTAGAGTTTTTATTATTTGATTTTTGAAAAAGGAAAAATTTGATGCCAGAACAGAACTAGAGAGAGAAATAAAAGAAGAGAATTTAGAAGATAATAACATATTACTAGAAAATATATCTAATTAAACATAGATCTTGACATAAATTTCTTGATCTCAAAGCACACCCCAGTATTTGAACTGAAATTTCTAGAAATTATTATGGGATTATTTAAAATCTATTTTTCAGCAAATTTAATGTTGAAACGAGCATCTAGATAAGGCAAACTCATTGATACCGCCAGCGCATTGTTTTGAGCTAAATGAACCTAATTCAAGCACCTAAAATTATAGTTGAAAACTTCACATAGCCATTTTTAGAATCAAATGACTTTGAATTGTGCATCCTTATAGTTGGAAAAAGTGTCTCTACAAAACAAACCTGATGAGCCCAAAATCATAGAATTTTGCTATCATGAGGACACTATGATGTCTAACAAAATATCAAATTATGAAAGTTTATGAACTCTAGCTATTTGATGGAGTCTCTATTTTGTGAAAATTAGTAGAATATCTCCTTTAAAAATATATAAATAGGCACTATGCCTCCTTAAGAAAATTATGAATAGGAACAATTCCAACATTTTAGAAGGAAATGAAGAGAGTCCCAATGATAATGGTAAGAAGATTCTAGAAAAGAGAATTTGAGAATCAAAAAGTTTTAAAAATTGTCCAACACTGACGCCTATCTTAGCCAACAGTGCCTACTTCCATGTCCAAAGTTGCCACCAAGGACAACACCCAGCCCAAAGTTGCCAACAAGACCAACACTCAACGTTGAAACCAAGGCCAATTCGCAATGTCCAATGCCCAATACCCAATACCAATGCCAAGATTGATGCCCACTGGAGCCACCATGATCAACTCCTATCGTTACTACCTTATTAGTCGCCTAACTTGCCACCTGTTTGACAAATCTAAAAATGTCAAACTTGTACTGGATCATTAAGTATATTTTAAATTACATCATGTTTCCTTAATCAGTATAGTTTTCTCCAATTACTTGAGAGCACATAATCAACATAGAAAAAAAATCTTTGTTCCTCTCCTCTTTCTTTCATATTTACTCACTTCACCGAAACGAACTGCAGCGACTGTCGTCGATAAGAATGGTAGCTTCATTACAGCAGATCCTTCAGGACGAAGAGCAAATCCATTCGACTATGGCTCGGGCTTCCCAGATCCTTCAAGAATGCTAGACCCGGGTCTCATTTATGACACACATGCTAGAGATTACAAGGCTTTCCTTTGCTTCAATGGCTACAGTGACGAATACTTGAATTTGGTGACAGGAGAAAGTAACAGCAGCTGCAGCCAATTATACCAAGTGCCTTCCAGCCTGAATTATCCTGCAATTGCAGTGCCTGATCTAAATGGAAGCTACTCGGTGACGAGAGAAGTGACAAATATGGGCAGAGCTGGAAGCATATATAGATCCCTTGTGGTTTCACCTGAAGGAATCAATGTAAATGTTGTGCCAGATGTTCTATCATTTAGAAGCAATGGTGAGAAGATGAATTTTACGGTGCATTTCAGGGTGCTCACTTCTTCAAAGGACTACGTGTTTGGGGCTTTATTATGGAGCTCCAGAAGAATTAAGGTAAGTACCCCTTTGGTAGTCAGGGTTGTTTCCCCTTGAATTATCTGTTTTTTTTTATTATTTTTTATTTTTTAGAAAAAAAATTATTATTATTGATCAAATGATTTTTACATTTATCTGCAAGAACTAAAAAAAAAATGTTATCCTTCATGCATTGAATTGGTTTGTTCATCTAATTATAAGCCCTGTTTGATCGTAGCAATCTGATTTCCAACATTATGTTTTGAACATGAGTGATCACACATGCAACACACATAACAAGCTAACAGAATCGATCATAAAAATCATAGAGGGTCAATCTTTCTACCATCTCAACAGATTCCTGAAATTTTTTTTGCTCATAATTTTGGTTGTGCCACATATTTCGTATGCGAACTTTTGGGTTTAAACCCAACATATTTTGGGTCACAGATTCTAACACTTACTAACATTGTTATGATTATGTCATTCATTGATAGTGTATTGCATGTTTTACTCATTTATAGATGGTTTCTATTATATGCATTCAACAATACCAGTGAATAAGAAATAGTGAGTATAAGGCCTAATAGATAAAAAAATGGCCTACTAGAAGATTCAACATAGGATAAGAGAAGAAGCTTAGATAAAAGTCTTGGTAATAATCACATAGTGTTTATAGACCATAGTTCAAACTTATATCAATCAAATACCCTAAGCATTTTATCATGATATCTTAGAGCCCATAGCTAAATGCTTGTGTCTGTTGTATGCTAAAAAGTCAAGATGCTAATATACTACATATATATATATATATATATATATATAAAAATAAAACAAAAAGAAACAACTAATCATAGTGGGTGTAGTCGGTGGATCTACCGCTTCCCCTTCCCTTGGATCTAGTGAGGGAGTCCAGCAACATACTGAGATGTGGACTTCCACCCGAAACAATGATACAATCATCCTGAGAGTTACCTAGATCTGACATTCCTTTCATCTTCTTCCTAGATTTGTAAACCTACCAATCATCAGCTAGAGGTAGTCCCGTGTGAACAATAGGTGGATCTTCGATGGAGGTAAACTGCTGATCTGACTCTGCCTGCAACACACCTTGATCCAGACACTCCTCCATAACTTAAGTACCCTCTTCTCTCGCAATAGGTGATTCCAATACACTTCGACTAGCATCTGTTACAATAAAATTCGTAAAATTTATAATATTAGGAAGAACTGCCTCAACAACAGTAGACGGAAGCTACTGGTCTGGTTGGTGAGAAGTAGCCTTTTGAGTCAAATCTCATTCATTATTTCTGGAAGATTAATAGTGTCTGTTATATTTTCCTCCACATGGATGATGTTATTAGGATATATCGATCTCAAATGTGGGTGGAGCCTAAAGCATTTAACAGGGGTGTGCCCACAGTTTATATATATATATATTAAAATTAGGCTCTCAACTCAAAACCCTCACAATTAAGTACATAAAAATAAATAATAAAGCAATTAGCCCAAACGACTCAAGTGTAACTATATTGTAGAATATATGATTAAGCAAATGAATGAGCAATGCGGCTTGCAAGCACAATGATCTTCGAGAACTACACAAATTAGAGTAATCAAAGCCCTGAAGCCACATAAATGTCCATACAAATAACGGTAATATAAAGATATTGGTATGATATGTAATTAAGATTAATAATTTTGGAGCTTAAACATAAAAAAATTACTCTAAATATGAATAATAGGATCTATTGATTCTACAATATATTTCGAGGACTCCAACATTATGCATCCAAATCACATTTTCTGATTGATTAATCTTGATATTAAATCTGCGTAAATAATCTGTGGCTAAATGATTGATGGATAAGATTATTTAACTGAGCTACATATTTTATAATTTAAAAAGAAGGCGACATTTTATTATTATTATTATTATTATTATTATTATTATTATTATTATTATTATTATTTGTGTATAAATTTTAGTAGTTGAATAATAATTTTAAATTTAAATTTGATATGACAAACTTATAAGTTTGGTACAAAAGCAAAATACAAAATTATGTCCTACTTTAAATATCAAAAGCCATCTGTGTCAATAAAATATATTTTGACATGATGAGTATAATAACAAGGCTTTTAAGTTTTATAAACTTTGTTGTGATAAAAATTACAATAAAAGATTGTATTAGTTTCACGTAGGGGTGTAAATAAGTCGAGTCGAGCTTGAGCTATCCTGCTTGAACTTGAGCTTGATTAATTTTATCGAGTTCAAGCTCGAACTCAAACTTAAGCCTATGAGTTCGAGCCGGCTTGCTTAATATAAAAGAGAGAAATGATATTATTTTAAGATAATTATAGAATAATATGATAAACAAAATGAATAATTATGGATAAATAATAAGAATCACATAATATGCAATACAAAATTTTATTTTTTAAATAGTCTCAATACTTTAAAGATTAAGTCTTGAAATTGAATGTATTTTAAGTATGATTTAGATTAATATTTTTTTTTAAATGAGCTGGCTCACGAGCTAACTAGTCAGGTCAGGTCTGGCTTGAGTTTGGCTTCCTAGCTCATCGAGCTCCGCTCACGAGCCACTTATTGAGTCAAGCTTGAGCCGGCTCATGAATTAGTTTGACTCACTCACACCCTAAGTTTCACAGTATTTTTAGCGGTGGTATTCTTTAAAAATTTGAAATGCATTTTTTCTTTTTCTCAAAAAAAAATCTCTAAAATAAGAAAATATATCATTTCAAAATGGAAGGATGTAGAAGGTGTTTGAACTGTAATTAATTATTATTAGAAGATGGAGAGTCATTAGTTGTGTGTGTGTGTGTGTGTGTGTGTGAGGATTTTAAGAAACTTCTCTCTTTTTATGATGTAATATCCATTTAAATGTTGTTGCATGATATATTTGCGGCAGTAGAGTAATAGATTATCGATTATCGACTTAACATTGTACATGAATCCAACACACTGGATATTGTGTCTTGAATTCAGACTCAGATTAAATATCGTCATATGTAAAGTGTGGGATCTACTGAGAAAGAATAAGAAAAAGCAAAGAAAAAGGAATATTTTGGCGGGTGACTCGACTTGTAAATTAGGAAAGAATACAGATCACTGCTCAAAATCTGGCACACTGTTCAATATATGACACATTGTTCAAAATTCAACGCAATGTTTCATATCTTCTTTTCAAGCTAAGATTTTGCTTGTGGTCGGAGGGTTTTCTTACACTTCTCTGATTAGTGTTTAGACGATACCCCCGTGTTATTTGTGAAAGACACATCAAGTGAACAATATTGAGGATGAAATCTGAAAATAATAACAAGTTTGAAATGGAGGTGAGTTTAGATGTGTTTCAAATGTTGACATTACTTTATGTTTTCTTGATGTATTTGTACTCTGAATCAATGGTATTGTGTTAGTTTTATGGTATTTTTTTGATGACTTTGTGAAGGTATTGTGAAGTTATTTTGCTGGTGATGTTTTTTTGGTGGCATTTAGAGTTATTGTTGTTGGTTTTTTTGGCATTAGGATGATTTTGAAGTGATATTGTGATAATATTTTGGTAGTATTATTAAAATATTGCCCTATTGTTTTGATGGTATTGTAGTGGTTTATGGAGTTATTGCAGTGATATTGTGGCTATATTATGGTGACATTTAGGTTATATTTTTTTATATATTGGTAATATTGTGATAATATTTTGGTGGTATTGTGATAATTTTGTAGTGGTATTATAGTGATTGTGTGGTGGTATTGTAGTAATTTTGTGGTTATATTGTGGTGGCATTGTGGTAATATTATGATGGTATTGTGTTGATTTTATGGTGGTACTGTGGTGATTTTATAGTGGTATTGTGGTGTTATGAAAAATATTTTTGTGGTATTTTTGAGGTATTGTCCTATTATTTTGGTGGTATTGTAGTGGTTTATGATGTTATTGTAGTGGATTTGTGGTTGTATTGTGGCGAGATTGGTGTTGTATTTTGTTCATATTCTGGTTGTATTGGGTGGTATTGGGATGGTATTTTGGTTGTATTGTGATAATTTTGTGGTGGTATTGTAGTAGTTTTGTGGCGGTATTGTGGTGATTTTATGGTTGTATTATGACGGTATTATAGTGATATTGTGATGGATTTGTGGTTGTATTGTTGAGGTATTTCTTATTATTTTGGTGGTATTGTAGTGATTTCTGGTGTTATTGTAGTGGTACTGTGGTAGTATGGTGAGATTGAGGTTGTATTTTGTTCATATTATGGTGGTATGTGGTGGTACTGAGTGGTATTTGGGTGGTATTGTAGCGGTTTTGTGGTGGTAATGTGATGTTTTTGTTGTTATATTGTGATGGTTTTGTGATTGTATTGTGGTGATTTTATGGTGGTATTGGGTGATTTTATGGTGGTATTGTAGTAGTATTGTGGTGGTACTGTGTTTGTATTGTAATGATTTTGTGTTGATATTATGGTCATTTTGTGGTGGTAGGAATTTCAGGTTGTATTTTGTTTATAATTCGATTGGTATTGTGGTGATTTTTTTTGCGGTATTGTGGTAGTATTGTAGTTGTACTATGATGGTATTGTGATGATTTTAAGGTGATATCGCGGTGGTAGGACTTTCAGGCTGCATTTTGTTCATAATGTGATGGTATTGTGATGATATTATGATGATATTGTGGTTGTATTGTGGTGGTTTTTGTGATGGTATTATGGTTGTTATGTGGTGGTATTGTGGTGATTTTGTGATTGTCATGTGGTGATATTTTAGTGGTAGGACTTTCATGTTGTATTTTGTTCATAATGTGATGATATTGTGGTGATTATTGGTGATTTTGTGGTGGTATTGTGGTGATTATGTGGTGTTATTGTGGCAATTTTGTGGTTGTATTGTGATGATATTGTGGTGGTATTATGATAGCTTTGTGGTGACATTGTTGTAATTTGTTAGTGGTATTGTGGTGATTTTGTGGTTATATGGTGATGGTATTTTATTGATTTTGTGGCTGTATTGTGATAATTTTTTTGTTGTAGTGTAAAGATTTTGTGGTGGTATTGTGATGATTTTATGATTTATTGTG